CCCCTCTCCCAGGATCCGTCATTGGTGAAGGTAAAAATGTAAAATGTTTAGGTTTCCCGCAAGCAGGGCACGTTTCTCAGTAGGTAGTCCGTGGGTCACATCTGTTCCGCATAACTATTTCTGTTTCACAGCCATCACATGAGAAGAATCAACACAATTGTGAATTTACTTATTGAAAAAGCAAAGATTTTCTTTGCGTTTTTTGATTTGAATTTCTTTCGTTCGTGCACATGCGGGTGTGTGCCCGCGACGTTCTGCTATTTTAACTCTGTCCAGACTTAGTACAAAATATGTACTACTGCGCGGAATGAATTAGCCGCACGGAGGTATTCATTTTCAACCATCATTTCTTGTCCCTGTGTGTTGTATGTTAGGTTAATTTATGAACAACCACTACAGATTGGAGAAAATAGTTCCTAGAAACACTGGAAGATTATGTAGGCATGTTAAATGCCTGCAGAGAACCTTAGAAACATATTTTACAAACCCTACAAGACATTTTCTTGTCAGCCGTTGGTGAGCCGAGGTCTGAGCTAACTCCTGGAGAAAAAAAAAAGGTTCAACGGCCACGTGATTGAAAGAGTTAAAGCTGATTGTCAACCATAAAATACCCTCCCCCCCATTCTGTTCGATTAAAGTATCTACATACCTAACTAAATTCCAATGCGCACAGCAATTGAAAGAAAACTATGCAGCCTCCGACCTTTCTTGAAGTGGCTATTGATTTCGTTGGTTACCCAGAAACTCAGGAAAGAATCCAAAAACAATAAAACAGTTTCTATTTGGACTGGAAAATGTAAATATCTCATCAGCGGCGGGATTTCAGATCTTTTTTTTGGGGAGGGGGCAAAGGGCCCCCCCGCATAAGATGGTAAAAAGTTTCCTTTAACCGAATAGCATTTGAGTAGTTACACTATAATTATAACATAAACATAATATTTTTGAAATATTTATTAATCTCCGTCCCACTATTCACACCCATCTACAGCCAGAAACGTTTTTCTAATTTTAATTTTTTTATGAACTTAACACTATTGTATCTAATTGAAAAAATGTGAAATACAAAATAAATTATACTATCAGAATAACATTTTTGATATTTTCTCAGCTCTAAATTTAAACGCAAAGTTTGTTGTTTTTTTAATAATCAACACAAAAAAATACTGTCTTAGAACCCCGGAACGGCTTGAAAACAATTTCAGAAGTTCCTAAAACATAACACGTGAATTTTTTCAAATTTTTTCGATTGCTGAGCTGTGGTTAAAATAAATAGAAAAATCGAAAGAAATTGAAATCTCGCAGCGCGAAGTAACTGAAAATGGAAGAGCGCCGTTTGACGCCTTTACATGTTTAGTTACGCATCGTGTGTGCTGTTCTGTCGTCTACTGCTGCCGATGCCCGAATGCCACGCGACCACGCGCCGGCACCCGAGTCAACAGGCAGCGTCGCTCTGCCCTACCCCCAGCTGTCAAGGAGACAGACATTTTATTCGGGCAATACATGTATTTGGGTGGCGTTCGTTCAATTCCCGGCATACTCGCTAAAACACGCAAAAACATTTTGTTTGAAATATCTTAGAAGGTTCTGACCGTATCCGAAAACACCTCGTAAGTTCCCCACTTGGAGACAAAGACGCGACGAATGACACGTCATACGTTTTGATTGTTGCACGGGAAGTGTCGAACCATGAGAGACGGATCCGCGCTCACGCTCACTCAGTTACTCAAATACTGTGAAGGGATTCATTTGTTTTCTCAAAATACAGAAAAAAGTAAAACTTTTATACTATAAATTTGAAGATCGTCGAAATGAAATGTCTAATTTTTTAATGTGTCATTTTTTCTAATGTGTTTTTTATTCCCCCCCCTGAATCCCTCCTCTGTATCTGATGGTGTTTTCCCTCCTACACTTATATTGCGCGCACTAACTGAATTCTCTCAAACGACTCGACTGCGATGCAGCTGACGTGATGCGACAGACGGTTTCAGAAGCAGTTTTACTTTCTCGCTACGGAGTGGATAGAAAGTTCTGTATTGCTGCGCGAAAAACAACTCATATTACAGGACGCTGGTAAACTAAAAGTGGATAAATCCAGTTTCTAAATTTAGAAGGAAAAACAATTGTAACTCGTGGTGCACACAGAATCCGGTTTTCCAGGTCTTTGTCAGCGAAAAATCGATTGACAGCAAAACGCCTGTCTATCTGTCAACAACGCTAGCGGCTAAACCATTCAGCCGATTTTCTTCAAAAGTGATATTTCGCAATCGATCTGACTGATGTCGTAGCCCCATCAATTTGAAACCCATGTTTTAATTTTGAGGGTACTTTACATGAAGCCCGTGGGACATTTTCCAAATTTTCAAAAAATGGCTCTATCGTTTTTGATTAAATCTTGTCGTTGGATAGTTTGAAGGACGTTTAAGAGAGTGCTGGTTTGATGATCGTTGAAGACTGATTTTTCGGAAATTGCAAAACTTCATTTTTTTTTCTCAGCCTTCCTACAACTAAAATATTGAAGATTTTCCCCTGGATGAAATCTGTTCCTTAAAGATAGATTTTGAAATAAGGTCATGTACAATTTTTCGAAAATTTGAGTACTTTTTGAGTAATTTTGCGTGAAAATGCGGGCGAGAAATTGTGCTTTTTAGCACCACTAGTTACTGCTGCAGGCCATTAATATAATTTTAATTCACTGTCTTACAGACAGTGGCGAAGCGTGAGGTAAAGTTTTGCTGCATCACCAACATAGTGTAAACGCACAAACGTAATAAGGAGTTTGTGCACTTTTGAACGTTACTGCATCATCGATCTTCTGCACATACGCAGTTTATTTCGCATCTGCACATGCGTAGAAGATGCGCTTTGGCGTGCACAAACTCCCTAATTTGTGAAATATCAAATATTATGAAGCTAAAGATCAGAAGACTACAATAACAATAATAGTCATAATAATAAATAATAATTCAATTAAGCGACAACACTGAAATCAAGAATAAGTCCTTGTATATTTCCCATTCTTTGGTGAACTTTTTAATTTTGGTCTGGCTATTTTTCTTTCAATTGCACCTTTTGTTCAAAAGATACCTCAAATGAGTTACACAACAAAAAGTTAACTGAATCAAATGTCACCATCTATAATCGCAAAAAGTCCCATTTTGTCATGTGGTTCTAATCACATAATCGTAAACTATTTCATATATTTCAATTACAAAATAAAACAAAACTATCGCATTGTACACCGTGATATATTATACTTGTTTGAACGATATTTCATTTGTAACCTGCATTCGAACACTATTCAAGCAACTTACGAAATGACAGTTTGATCTTTCCACAACACAACACGTCTAGGCCGCGATGCCAAATTACAAATGCGGAAAATAAACATTTTCTAAATGATCGTGTTTTATTAAGAGTTGTCACTAAGTTAAATAATGTGGGAGAAAAAAGTGAACATTCTCAATATTGTACTTAATGAGTTTGGGGCAGAGGGATTCAAATATTGAATTTTGAACTAAAAAAATGTTTTACTGTCGATGTTTGAAGTTGCTCAATGACCTCTAGCGGAAGGTCCATGCAAGCTGGTGGTGAAGAGGGTGCTAGTGCCGGCAAGAGTTTCAATTGCTTTCACAATATTAAGGCCGGCCTAACGCCTGCCAACTCAATGGGCATGCGCGCTCCCTGCCCGGCGCCCCGTTCCTGGTCTAGTGACTTCGTAATACATCAGGCGAACGAGACTCAGCCTCTCCGGGTGGCGAAAAGACACCGCATGGAATATGCATAAGAACAGAAAAAATAATTTGGCTCGCCTAAGTACAGTACCAATTGGCTAAAAATCCACATTATGACTGTACACTTTTGTTTTTTTAGTGAGATAGTTCTCGCTTTCTTCAAAAATTCTTTGGGATAGCTCAGCATACTCTGTCTACCCTAACGCTTCGCCACTGCTTATAGTATAATCCTAAAGAAGCATAGATTCTCAGTACTTGGGAACGTTGAGTTTCAAAAGTTGCCGTACCTAGCTGAAAGAAACGGATGGATTATAAAAATTATACATACTAGCGTACCTGTGCGGGAACTCTTGCATGTTCTTAGGTACCTCAAGAAAAGCCATTCTGAGCCAAAGAATAATATTATCAATATATTTACCTGTGAGCAATACATACCATTTGTTACCATATTTTTTTAATCGATAAATTTCATTTTTACTTCGCGTTTTCAGGAAAATAATTTCATTTCTTGAACTGTGTTGCCCATAAACGTGTATTGACTAAATTAGCGGAGTTTGAAATTTGAGGTGTGAGCGGTAAAAGCAGAAAATATATTTTGAATAAGAATAATATGCACGTGTAGTATTTAGATGTATGTATGGTGTGGTATTACCTGCGCACGTTTTTTTGAGCCATCGTTTTGCTAATTGCGATAGGATTGGGGAGCTAGGTTATTTTGAGAAAAATAATTTGTTATATTTGTAATTCCTTTTTCGATGCGAAATAGTTTCATTACACGGGAGTGAACATTTCCGGTTATCAGATTTTGTTTACAACGCTCTTTTCTATCATTCTTCATTCAAGATATTTCGGGGCTCGAGAAAATGTTAACGTGTACGTAAGTAGGCATATACGAAGTATTTACTTCATATCAAGTGCATGTCTAATGTCGGTTATGTCACAAACTTGTCACAGAAACAAGAATGTCGATTCTTACATTCGTTTGTTGCGTGGGAATTCTGCCGAAGACAGAGATACTATTTTTTCTAAGGATATCGTGAAACTGAAACTTTGGAACATGTGGTCCATTTCCATCCCAGTTCCCTCCACAATTAGGTACAAAACACTTATAGACCATGGTAGAACGTTAAATGAATGGTTGCGCTACACCTTTAAGAATCATCGGTGTCAAGGAATTATTAATAGTACGATTAGGAGGTATTCAACGATTTAGCTGAGTGCCGCGGGTTGCATTTGACATGCATATTTAAATGCTTTTTTTTAAAAAAAACAAATACTTTATATTTTTAAAGTCAAAGTGCAATTCGTCATGTCTCCGTAAAATTCTCTTTCTTTAGAGACCTCATTTATAAAGATGTGGGGCGTGAGAGCCGCGAAAGGTATGTGTACTATTGAAATAATATTAGACGATAAACTGTATTGTATGTACGTAGGGCGTGCGTCTCAATAAGGGGGTCAAAACTTTTAAAAGCTTATATTAGTTCACAACTATATTAAATTCGTGCCTTCTTTATGTAATTTTATAAAATATTCGAGTATTTTTGCAAGCACTTTAGTAAAGGTAATTTAGGCGTCTGGAGTACAAAACTAAATATTTAAAAAATGTTGCCATACAGAAATGTAGACTAAATTATGTTAAATTATATTTATACTCTAGGTATACATTATTTTAATATTACTTTTTTAAAATTGCGTTTATAATACTTTTTCCTTGTATAATTATTTTCAAATCTTATGTTCGTTTGATCATAGTTAGGGCTTCATAAGGTTGGGGTTCAAAGGCCCAGAACATAGTTCCTTCAGTGTAATGGAATGCAATGGAACGGTGCTGCCTCCGCATCGTGCGA